TCGATCCCAGGACCCTGGGATCATGACCTGAGCTGAAGGCAGTCGCTTAACCAACTGAGCCACCCAGGCGCCCTGGAGAAGGAATTATTTATTGAACTGCTTTCTGATGATCACATAAGCCATGGGAAGCAGGAATCTGATTAGCTTTTGCATTTAAGTGGCCAGAGGTGTTTTATTATGTCCAAGAAATTGTCTCAGTGTCTATTAGAAGAAAGGCCATAGAGGGTACGCCCAGACACTAAATTGCCTAGGAATGTTCCTTTGGACTATGAACTTCTTAAATGCTCTCCGAAAAGCGATAATCTGATGACACAAAACAATGATATTCAAGGGGTTACGGCTTCAAGTTCAAAGAGTATTAAGAATTGGAAGAGTATGGAATGGTCCTAGACAAGATATTTTATTCACAAGGTCAGCCCTCAATATGGTCAGTTTTATATAGGTGAGCCAAAGACCTTGCCCTCTTAGCTTACTGACATACATTCATGTTGTTATTTTAGAACCTGACCTGGTTTTGAGAACATAGGTTATTGGTATTTCCATAATCCAATAGCAATCAGGAGGAAATAATTCCCTAAAAATAAATAAGAATATAACATATTTTTGTTTTTACCATACACTGTTTTTTTTTTTTTTTCTTTTTTTCCTCCACCAGTTTCAAAAGTCGGGTATTATTTCATCTCATTTGTAACACATTTATCTCTTGAGTTCCAGAAATTAGTGTGTTAAATGTCAGCCTGTCAAATCTGGTCTGTCAACCTTATTGGAATCCCAGTGAGATGTTGGTCCTTATACCTTTCCAGGTACTCTGTGGGCACTCCAAAAATATTGCTTGATGAAGGAGGAATAATTTAACTGGAGATTGATCCCATTGTTTTAAATGTTTTAAAACTAATTTTTCTGTCATTAACACTGTACTCCAGAGATCTGGGAGAAAGGTGGACTCATCAGTAAGCTTAAATTCATAGCTAGCTAACTGTTTTGTAAATTGCATTGGCGCCACCTCCTCTGGGTGTTTTCCCAACATGAAGGTTATTGGTGACATCAGAGCTGACCCTGAAGGTATGGGATCAGTTGACTCTGGATTAGTCAGTGTGAGCTTTCACTCTTACAAAGGTGGGCTTTCCTGAGTGAAAGCAACTTTTAGTTGCTTCTATAAGCTGTCACCATTTGAAGACGTGGGACATGGTTTATAAAAGTACACATGTGTTACAAGGCCAGTTGCTTGATTGCTACTTTGTGAGAATCTCTGATTTATTATTATTTTAAACAAGTGCAAGCACTTATATAAATAGGTAGACACAAATGATTCTCTGCTCATGAATTATAGTGGGCTAGGAGTTCCATCTACTGCAATAGTTATTTAACATTTTAAAAGATAACTTGAGATTTAGACAAAACCAAATTTATAATTTGTTTCTAAATAGACTGCTATTCTCAATTTGTGCCAAGAGAGTAAAAATAACTAATATTTGCAAAGTACTTTACAAGTATACAAAGTACTTTTCACATATTTTAATAGCTACCATTTATTATGCCAAATGCCATGTTACAGTAGGTTCTTGAAATACATTTTTCCTTTAATCCTCACAATTCTATGAGTAAATATTACATTATCAAGATGTTACCTTTTTAAAAAAATGTTTTTAAGTAAACTCTACCCCCAGTGTGGGGCTCAAATTCACAACCCCAAGATCAAGAGCGGCATGCTCTACCCACTGAGCCAGCCAGGCGCCCCCAGATGCTACCTTTAAACAGGCTTAGAACAAAGGAATCAAAGAACAAAGGGAAGGTCAGAAATAGAATGGTACTCCAGGCAGCACCTCCCCTTTACCAGCTTTTTCCCTCCAAAATGGGATTTCAAAGTCAGAGTGACTGAGCCACAGTCCTAAAATCATAGAATGGCAAAGGGATGTTACAGGGGGCTCAACTGAAATATGTGATGATTAGAGGAAAATAATTCAAATCACAAAATGCTATGGATAAAAGAACTCTGAATTATATCCAGTTAGGTTCAGGGCTTCCATTGGCCTTCCATCATCTATTGGTTTCATTCATCTCTCTATGGTTTCATCTGCTAGAGTTCTAACAGAATTTCAGATACATGATTTGCTCATTTCACTTTTTCTTCTCCTTTGTAAGTGTAACATTTTTCCTGATATTTTGGGGAGGCAGAAGTTCAACTAGGAAAAGATGGGGTTGTATGTGCATTTTATAGGGGTGTTTGATCCTTAAATGGAATTGTATTCCCTCTGACCTCCAATTAGTTCTTGGGAATTCATCTGCCTTAAGGAGATATGTTAAGTGGTGGGATAATATTTTGATATATTAATCTTTTATGTCTATATCTCTCTTTCTATTTCTCCCCATTCAACCAGAAAGTAGGCTCTGTGTTGATTACCCCAGGGGAGGCACAGTGCAAGGCAGAAAACAGAGGAGTCTACAAGTCTTTCTGGCTTTTGTTTTCAAAGGCCTAAACCTTTAGAGGAAAGGAATTTCTAGATCTAAACAGGGTTTTGAAGAAACAAAAAAATGGGAAGAATTTTCTCCAAACTGAAAAAACTGAAATGTTCTCCGGCTGGCAGGGGTAAGGGACATCACACACACACACACACACACACACACACATGCATGCATGTGCACACACACACACTTGTTAGGGTGTAAGATTCTAGAGCTGTGGTACAAATTTGGGGAAAAGCAGAGGAAAGCTCATGGAAGACTGATGTTAAGTACAACTATCTCTACACCCCTTCCCCAACTGACCCTACTAGAACGGGGGCTCAGAATCAGAAATTATGTTGAATTATAGACAACAGAAGGTTATATCTCTAGTACACTTCAATTTAGGGGTTGAAATTCACATCTACCATACTCGTTAAGAAATATGTTATATCATATGGATATGTGTAGCTATAATGATGATCATCAAAGAGTTATAGCAAACAAAATGGCAATAGTCTAAATGTTGTTTGATTAACCCAGTTATAACATATGTATATATAAAAACTATTCAACTATTTAAAATATTATTTATGAGATTGCTTAATTATATAAAGATGTTCAAAATACACTGATATGAAAATACAAATTATGAAATACTATGGAAAGTATCCAATTTGAAAGAAAAATATGTACATAGGCATGAGGAATAGACTTAAAGCATATATATAGTTGATCCCTGAACAACACAGGGTTGAGGGGTGCTGATCACCCACAAAGTAAAAAATTTATATATAACTTTAGCTCCCCCAAAACTTAACTACTAAAAGCCTACTGCTGACTGGAAGCCTTACCTGTAACAGAAAGTCAATTAACAAATATGTTGTATGTTATATGTATTATATACTGTATTCCTACAACAAAGTAAACTAGAGAAAAGAAGATGTTAATAAGAAAATCATAAGGATTGGGGCGCCTGGGTGGCTCAGTCGTTAAGCATCTGCCTTTGGCTCAGGTCATGATCCCAGGGTCCTGGGATCGAGCCCCACATTGGGCTCCCTGCTCCGCGGGAAGCCTGCTTCTCCCTCTCCCACTCCCCCTGCTTGTGTTCCCTCTCTCGCTGTGTCTCTCTCTGTCAAATAAATGAAATCTTTAAAAAAAAAAAAGAAAATCATAAGGATTTTAAGGAAGAGAAAATATATTTACAGTGCTCTATGGTATTTATAAAAAGAAATCCATATATAAGTAGACCTGCACCATGGTCAACTGTATTACATGAAGGACTTATGTTTTTTCCTTTAGATTTTTCTTTAATTACTAAATTTTTAGTAATAACGGGTTTTTAAAAATAAGAATAATACAGTAAAAATTACAAAATACGATGCAATTAGTTTATACTTTACACTGAAAATTCCTGCACATTGCTTTTATGGAAAAGCTTAGGGAGAGAAGACTCCTCCCCTTCTCACACAATTCTGTTGATTTGATGACTGGGATAGTCATTCCTTCACCTGGCAGGCTACTGTCAAAATGATGCTTAACACAAGACCAAAAGCTGGAGAAAAAGCAAAACAATAAAAATATGAAAGGAAAGAATGGAAAATAAGAAAAACTAAATATGTATAACTTGGGATGGAGGAAAAAAAGACAATATCCTTACATTTTCTTTTTTAGCAGAATCTATTTTCTTAATTTTAATATTTTCTAAATAAAATATTGGTGATTAGTTAAAGAGCTCCAACATGTAGATTACTGAGTGCCGGAAGAGATGAGAATTTATTAAACAACGGGAATATGTGGAGTATCCTATTAGAAACCAGGATAAAGAATTCTGATTTTGGGGCACCTGGGTGGCTCAGTTAAGCATCTGCCTTCGGCTCCCGTCATGATCCCAGGGTCCTGGGATCGAGCCTCACATTGGGCTCCCTGCTCAGCGGGAAGCCTGCTTCTCCCTCTCCCACTCCCCCTGCTTGTGTTCCCTCTCTCGCTGTGTCTCTCTGTCAAATAAATAAATAAAATCTTAAAAAAAAAAAAAAGAATTCTGATTTTGATTTGATAATAAGAAAGTTTACGTATTGATCATACATTAGCATATTTCTAGTCTACATTTGGAGGACAACTAGACAACCAGATGCAAAATGTATTCTAAGAAAACAAATATTATAAATATGGCAATATAATCTGAATTGTGCTACACATTGAAAGTACATGAACTAGTTATTTCTTAGTGCTTTCTATATGTAGTAGCAAATAACTAATAATCAAAGTAGGTAATTGGAAATCATGCATTATTATTTAGCACTTAAATACCTCCTTGTGTCTCTTGACAAATCTATATTACATTAATGTAGGTTACAGTAATGGGAGATTAAATTGCATTGGCTATGAATTCCACATATTATAACTTGAAATTCCACTAAGAAACTCATTTATTTGTCCTGATAAAATTGCTTTACTTTCAGTGGTTTCTTCAAAACTGGAAACAAACATGGAATTCTTACGGGCATAAAACATCTCCTTGTTTCTTGGTCTAGTCCGTCTTTTAAAATTGTACTTACCCTTGGGAATGTTGGCGAGTTTGTTTCTTTGAAGAATTAACAACTTTAGAAACGGAAGCCCGTGCCTCCAGCTGCTTCTGTGGCGTTTCCCCCACGAGGACTTAGCACTGCGTAGATCCAACGCGATGGAGAGGAGGGAACTGTTGCTGAGGTTTAGTACTTCCAAAGCGTGGAAGTGTGCAAGAGGGCTTAAGGTGATGTTCGGATTGCGATTGTTACTGAGGTCCAGATGTTTTGTATTCCAGTCTTCTTTTCTCATGTGTGACCGTAAGAGAGCCCTAAGGAAACTGGCCCTTGTGTCCACTGTGGCTGCTGGCTGGGGTTTGTCCACATGGATATCATGCTTTCCGGTAAAGGAACAATTTGTCAGAAGATACCCATTCCATTGGCACTCCGAACTGAATAAAAGACTGCTTTTTCTGGATGGGTTTGTCATTGTTCCAGTAAAATAAAGACCTATTAGCATTGTTAGGACTCTGAAATGTAGGTTTTTCATAATGCCTAGAGAAAGGAAAATGGACTTATTCAAAATAACGTATATGAAAATTAACAGCAAATAAGCGGAAAATTCAATTTTTTAAAAAAGATTTTATTTATTTATTTGAGAGAGAGAGAGATAGCAAGAGAGAGCATGAGGGTAGGGGGAGGAGACGGAGAAGCAGGCTTCCCACGAACAGGGAGCCCGACATGGGGCTCAATCCCAGAATCGTGGGATCATGACCTGAGCCGAAGGCAGACGCTTAACCGACTGAGCCACCCAGGCCCCACAGTTTTCAATTTAAGATTTAGGAGAATTATTTTGCCTTGATTGCCAATTTAAGTGCATGTTTGATTTCTTAGAACTTGGGGCATTAAAATGTAGCTAAAAAATGGTAAAGCTATGGGGCGCCTGGGTGGCTCAATTGGTTAAGTGTCTGCCTTAGGCTTAGGTCCCCATCCCAGCCGGGAGTCTGCTTCTCCCTCTTCCTCTGCTCCCCCCACCCCACGTGCTCGCTTTCTCTCTCTCTCAAAGTCTTTTAAAAAAACGGTAAAGCTATAGTATACAATTACATTTATGTCACATTTTAAAGAAACAACTCCCCTGATTTTTCAGAGAATACATATTCACTTGGGCCTCACCTCTGTGTCTGTTATTCCAGGAACACTCACTGTGCAGTCTGCTTTGGATGGAAACTTACCAAGATTAAAGACTTCTCTGTTTTCTTGCTGGTCCTTAGTACTGAGCAAAGTCTATTATGCTTATCTACAACCTGTAATCAGCTATGTGGTTTATTATGTGAGTGACAAGCCATCCAGTTACACTAAATTGTGAACGATATGAAGAGAAAGTTCGACTCACAAAGGAGACTCTTGATTTTTTAAAATTAAATTTACATTTTTTTGTGACTTTAAGTTGAAATACAACATAAACAAAATGGGTTATAAAAAGGATGTTCTGCATCAGCACCATGAAAATAAGATAAACATCAAGTATCCTTTTCTTCAAAGATTGAGAAGAAAATGAAAAATTTAAAGTAAGTATCTACAATGGCTAAATGTATACACAGAAAATTTTAAAAGAAAATGGATAGTAAACTCCCCAAAAGACTGTAAGCTCCCAGAAGGGCTATGTTTTCCAAATATATATATTTCATATATTTCCAGATATATATATATGGAAAATTTATATATATATATATGTGGAAAATTTATATATATATATATGTGGAAAATTTATACATATAGAGTTCCATTCACAAGACTCTTGCTTAATTTTTTTAAGTGATGACTATAAGAACTATATAAAATGCCTCCCCCTTCTCCTCATGTTTTATATTTTCAATACTCTGCAGTCTGTCCCAGGGCTATGCTGTTTGGATGAATAAATGCATGGAGTGAATGAAATTTAACATGTAACTTTTAAACTTTGGTTTCATACAAGGTCAATTCTCCTACATTTTGAAGAGCACCCAAATCCAGGTACACATGGTGCCCTGCAGCATGGAGGAGTGATTTATTTTTACAGTGGGCCTCTTACACAATACCAGAAGTTGAATTAATTGCAGCCAGAAAGGTATTTGTTTCTATATGCAAAGCTGCAGTCATTGTAAATACAATTGTATACACCAAGTTAATGTAACGATATGAACAACCAAAAAATATAGTCATCATTCACAGGCACGTTACTTTGCAGTATTGAAGAGAAACGTATGACTGAAAAATACTTCCGGGGGCATAAGTTAAAGATTTTCATTGACCTGGTTCTTTTTAAGTTGAAGAGATTTATACATTAACTAATAAATTGGAGTTCAAAAAAGCTATATAAGGATAATTTTATGTCCTAAAATGAAATACATTGATTTGTAAAGAAAAATTATGTATACTACAAACTTTTATGTACTAGGTAAAGAACCCCTAAGAACCCCAGAAAATTTTCTAAGGAAATTGGAAACAATTAGGTAAAATGTCAGTCTTTAAATGGACACATTCAAGCCTAAGTATGAGGAAGCAGTTAGAGATATTGAAGGTGTGTGTGTCAGAGTGAGAGAGATAGGGGGAAGGCTGTAGAAAAAACAAAGTACGGCAGAAATCAAGAGGCCATTCTTCCATAAAAGAGAAGTTAAAACAATAGGAAGAAAGCAGAAGAAGGTATGTTTGATAAGATGTAGGAAGAACACCATAACAGTAACAGTTTCTAAGGCATACCTTAGGTCCTCAGGCAGTTTTCAAGTGGGTCTGTCTGGATCTAGCCAGGTGGGGATTCAGACCTGAGCCTTTGAGGCTCCACCCATCCACCCTTGGAGCCTGCCTGCCCTTGGCAAACCTTTGCCCTTTCATCTTCCGGGCTCTGGCCTCTTGCCACAGTGACAGTGTGCACATTCCCCTGGGACACGAAGGGAGGAGCCACTAGAGAGAGTCTGCAATGCACAGAGGGTAGGACTATCCAAACAGGAACTGTACAGCTTCGAGCTATGAGCTCCAGGATTCCAGACAGACTACATAAACACCAATGCATTTAAGTATTCTCAAGCTATAAATTCATCATGTTTGTATGATTAAGTAGAAACCTGCTAGAATTTTAACCATTAAAAAATCAACAGCAAACAATTTACAGAATCTTTATTGTAAACAGAGATCATTAATAGTTATTACAAACTGAGTTAACTGACACTCAGGGTAGCAGTCCGAAACAGAGTTATAGGTTTTTGAATGGCATAATTTGTAGTCTTTGCCCCCTCAATACTTTTTACAGGACCAGTGTTCTAACCCCCAAGCTATAGGGCCTCGTGTCAACACTTTTTAAAAGACTACTAAAATTATCAGCATTTCAATGGTCTCTTTTTTGTTAAGTTTAGCACCATAACGTTCTTATCTTCTTAAAAAAATTCGTTCAAAGCTAGGTAGAATTTCCACCTTTCATCATCAGAACTATCACACAAAATTTATTTCATTTTTTTCATAATGCAAAAAGAATACAAATAAGGATATTTTTAAATCTTGCAGACTATATATAGGCAGCCCCTCCCTTGTGTTGTCTGCATTTTCCTAGCTGCCCATTGGACGGTTTCTGAAATACTTTGCTTTTATTTCATTTGTCTCCCTTGTCATTGCAACCTATCTCTAAAGTACTGTGGTTATTTAAACAAGCATATATCTACCCCCCTCTCCTGAGAGCCTGTCTTTATCTACTTTCCCAAGTCTGCTGCTTTTCCTATCAGTGCTCAATGCAGGGGATGAACAACCAGAAGAGGCAAAGTTAACCTTTTGGTTTTTGAAAAATACCACCTGGTGGTGAGAATGAGGAGCTGAAGCTTTTCCATTATGCAAAATAGATCACAAGTGAAATGGACGGTTTGTTCTTGATCTCATTTCCAGTGAGTTTTCCAGGTCTACATCTCAGTGAAAAGGCAAGGGCTACCTGCAAAGTGTCCTAAAATACTATACCTGTTACCTTTACAATCAGTTCTATAAAAACATCAAAATACCCTCTCATGTTAAAAGCACTTAATGGAGGTGTATCAAAAACACAAGTATTTTTCAAGGAGGAGTAAAAATAGATTGCTTTGTGAATTATATTCAATAAATAATACTTTGTAGTGTCTTGTGACTTTTGCAAAAATATTTAAAGAGACTTTCAAAACAAATCTAAATAGAGCAGACAAGAATGTAAAATTAAAATATACTAAGCATGTGAATGAAAATTCCAATGGATTTTTCTGAACATCAAATATGAAATGACACTGAATATATTCAAATAAGATCTGAATATCACAACAGTAACACTCAGGTCATAAAGTTCACTTTTTGGGTAATGGGCATTAAGGAGGGCACGTGATGTGATGAGCAATGGGTGTTATATGCAACTGATAAATTATTAAACACTACATCTGAAACTAATGATGTACTGTAAGTTGGCTAAATGAATTTAAATTAAAAAAAAAGTTCACTTTTTTCCTTCATTTAAAAACTGTACTCTGTATTATATAGTAAGTCGATATCTTTTAGTACACTTTAATGACTATTCATAATCTCTAAGGCATGTGGTTATTCTATCAGAGAGAACTGTGACTAGATTGAATGCAAATTTTTTGTCTTGATTTTCTTATCTACACAGTTCAAAGTGGCCACGACAGAATGCTGTTCTACTTGAATGCAGAGTGGGGCTTATGATTTATCTCTACTGCTTATTTTACAGCAAAACTATTTTGAAAACTCGGCCCCTGATGCTCTGTGTGTGATTAATAATACCAGAGTTCCTTTTAAGTCAAATATAAAATACATTAAAAATCAACTGGCTTGAGGGTTGTAAATCACAATGGGATTGTGATATGAGGAGCAGAGATCAGTTCTCATACTTACTCAAAAGTTACTTAAAGATTAATTTTCTGTATCAGCACCCTTTACAGCAGTGCGGCCCAGCTTTGTTCAAGGCCTGGTGCACACTGCAATGGGTGCTATTTGAATGGCACACTGGGGTGAACTACCAGCCATTCCCAGCCCACAGACTTGCCTGGGGCCATGGCCTCCCACTTCTCACTGTGTTGCCCTGAGGCCTGAGGGTATAAATATCTTAGTGACCCTTTTACCCAATTCAGGCATTCCCAGGTGCCAAACCCCTTCAGTTATGACACTGCAGTAACCTACAAGTAGGCTAATTTGACTTCTCTATAGTATAATATTTTGGAATTGGCTTAAGCTAGTTTAAAACCTGACAGAAGTTGGACATTTTTTTTTTTGACATGAGACTGATTTTTTTTTTTAACTAGAGTAAGCATGGCTGTTTTATTTGATTCTTATCTGCTTAGGTAAGTTTGAATTAGTCTCTGTTCATTTTTCTAGACTTTTAAATATTAAGATTTCTGTGCAGATAGTAAAAAGAACACAGTATTTGGAAGCAGGTACATTTAGGTTTGAATCACATGCAAGTTCCAATCCCAACCCGGCCAGCTATTTCCTATGTGACATTAGGTAAGTTTCTTAACTTCTCCGATCCTCAGTTTCCTAAGGGGAAACACTGGGATAGTAACACCTACATCCAGAGCTGTGGTGAGAATCAGTGACGTTACAGATGCAGCGCCTGGGACAGTGCCTAGGATGTGTCAGATGCTCAGCTGTCGTCAGGATTTAACAGTTGAAGCTGGGATGGTGTTTCAATTTCTACCACATTGTGAACACTTCGTATTCATCAATATTTAACAAGTAAATTCTATTAAAGTAAAATCTATTCTATTAGAGTATTTTCATCCTAGTGCAAAACTAAGAAACCATAGTTTCTTACCAGCTCACATATGTGAAGTTCTTTAATGACTTCACTTGCACTGAGAATACAGCTGAAAATTAATGCACTAAAAATCTGTCTTTTCTCTTAGAAGCCCAAAGACGGAGCATGTAACATTTATTAATGGAGTACCTTTCAAACATCTTAAGTGGGTGTATCTCCATTAGGTACCAAAATTTACTTATAGCAAGTCTAAACAGTTGCTTCAGCCCTTTATCCTTTAGACAAGGAACAGCAGGATTTTAAAAACACTTCTTTAAAGATTAATTTTGCTTGTATTCACTTCTGATAATTACTTTAGAACTGTAATTTGAAGATCAGTGCAACTTAACGAAATGTATTAAAATTTAGGCTCTCTGAGAGCTCTTTTAAATATGGAGATTATATAATAGATACAGTAGTGCTCTGTAGATAAAATGAGAGTTATTGCAAACTCTCTAAAAACATGACTTGCATGCACACTCTTAAAAGCAGTCAAGCCAGGCTTTGAACACACGGCTGAAGTCCCGGGTTCCTTTAGCGAGTGTCTCCACAGGGGTTGTCTGAGATCTGGCAGCCCATGTTCTGGCCTGTTACTTGTACCCTGAAGAGCGTTCCGTCCGCACACACACAGAGCTTGTACCGCACCCACTCGCCAGTCCCAAACTGGTCTCCACTGGAGGAACCAGGTAGGCGACTTGTGCTAACCATCACAGTTCCATTTAGGATGATGCTGTTTTCCTATTAGGAGAATAATGGCATGATTTATTTACCTCCACAAGTGGTGACAGAACAAAATTAATAAGAAAAACTTAGAATATTAACAAGAAAAATAGGTAGTAAAAAACAGTAAAGTCATGACCAAAACAACAACAAAGAAAACAAAACCAGTGTCAAGATTCAACTAGTGACCTCTTTAGCTCATAAAGTGTATCAATAGTTATAACACACTTCATTAAAATTATATCAAAATTCCTAAGTACGTAAGACAGAGAATTTTCATTTGTTACTTCCTAAGAGAGTTTTTACAAAGTTAGTGACTGGTAGGTTTCTGATGATGAAAAGAAAAAGACTGTTTTTCTCCTACAGAAAATTAATTTTAATTTCTAATGTTTTTTTTTTTAAAGATTTTATTTATTTATTCATGAGAGACAGAGAGAGAGAGAGAGGCAGAGGGAGAAGCAGGCTCCCAAGGAGCAGCGAGCCCGATGTGGGACTCGATCCCAGGACACTGGGATCATGACCTGAGCCGAAGGCAGACGCTTAACCATCTGAGCCACCCAGGCGCCCTAATTTCTAATGTTTTTACAACACCACAAATGAAGATTCAAACCAGATAATTCTGAAGACCAGGCACTCAAAGAAAACCACCTCAAGGTTCTCTTCTTCAAGCCCACCGTTTCAGGAACATTCTTGAACTGTAGGCCCTTTTTGGGGGGGAACTCCTAAGTCTGGCTCTCCCTTCTTTCCTCCCTCTTTCCTGTTCTTCTTTTCACTCATTCAAAAAATAATTATTCAATGTCTACTATGTGCTAGATACTATTTTAGGTGCTGAGGATATAGCAATCAACAGAGAGCTAAGTCTGAGTTCTCATACAGTTGACATTTTAATGGGGAGGGGCAGACAATAAACACGTGAACAGGTAAAATAAATAAAACATCACTGGAGGAAAAAAGGTAAGCAGAGAGAGAGTGACCAGGCAAGGGCTCTGTTTACATAGGGTGGTCAGGGAAGGCCTCTCTGGTAAGGTCACAGTGCAGTGGAAACTGGCTGATATGAGTAAGCCATGTGGGCAACTGGGGAAGGGCCCTTTGGGCAGAGGACCCAATACACGCAAAAGCCCCCGTGTGAAGATGTGCTAGTGTTCGAGGAACCTGTAGAAGCCAGTGCGGCTAAAGCAGAGAGCACAAGGGAGTCGACTGGTAGATGAGTCAAAAAAATAACTCAGGGCCAGACATGTTAGGGAAGGGAATGGACTTTGAGTTTTATCCCCAATTAGATGAGAAGCCATTTGGAGGGATCTGAATGTGGAAGTGATGTGATCTCTGAGAAAGGATCACTCCGGCTGCTGTATAGAGAACTGACTACAGGGGCGAATGAGGAAGCATTCACCATTTAGAAAGCTGTTCCAACAGTGCAGTAGGATGTGGTTGGTGGTTTATACCATCGGTGGTGGTGGTGGAGGCAATGAGAAGCAGCCAGACTCTTATCTTTTGAAGGTAGAGCCAGAAGGCTTTTCTGATGGACTGATGGGCACCATTTAACAAGATGGGAACACTGAAAGAAAGGCATATCTGGGGAGAGAGGGAGGGTATGAAGATTTTGGACTTGTTGAATTTGAGATGCCTATTATGCACTGGAGTGGAGAAGGTACAAAGTCATCTGGGTATGTGAGTCTTAGTTCAGAGGAGAGATTAAAGCAGGAGTTCCAAATTTGAGAGTCATCAGGTTATAGAAGGCATTCAAAGCAATAAGACAAAGTTGGGTTTGAAGAAATGGAAATAGCTACTTGACTATGTAGTGTTATTATGCATATGGAATAAACAGAATCCTTAAGTGATGAAGTTTGAAATTTTGTTCCAATATTGCCATCTTGTGGTCATTTAATTTCACTTTCTTTAAATTGCGAGAGCAGTTATTTCTTTAAATGCGTTTGATAAAATTAAAAAAAAAATTTTTTTTTAAATAATTAGCTATACACTTAGAAGCTAGCCACTGATATTAACTGGATTATAAAGCTAATTATCTTTTCAGTACCGTGGGCTTGTTTTTCTTTAACTGTGGAGAAACTGGTATGAATGTATATGTATTTCAAAGTATCTTAATATTTCCCCTATCAACAGACAGAATTTTCAGGTAGAAAGAAAGAAAAGATTTAGGTAACTTGCTAATGGCTATATGCAAATCTATCACACCTCTTGCTTCTTTGAGTTTCCAGTGCTGAGAAGAATAGCCCCACTGTGGCCGTTCTTCAACACTATTCTCTCAGAGGAATGGCTTCTAACTATAATACATGCAAAAAATACTCAGTATTGCTATTGAGTTTCTGGCAAGAAACACATTTATGTTTATCTTTATTATTTAGAAATTGTAATATGTGTTTTAGAGGAGAAAGCTATTTATGAAAATGGAAAACTTAATTTTTTAAAGCTTATTTTTTCTAAATTAAATTAAATTTAAATAAAAGAAATAATTATTTTACAAGTCCTTAGATTTAAGTTTATTTTTGTCATATATGATGCTTGGGTAAAATAAATTTAATTAGCTTTAGTTAAGCGGCATATAGCAGGTGGCCAAAGACATTTTGAATAAATATGCTTTGATCAAAACTGTGAGCAGGTAAACCGTTTTTGGATTTCTGGCTCCCTTATATGAGATATGTTACCTACTGAAGTTCAGATATAATCTGTGAAGGACAAAGCTTCACTTTTCAATAGCTATAATAAAGGCAAAATCATTTTCCTTTGCAGTTAATAATAGATGGGTAAATAAAATACATTTTATACATTTGCTAATTGATTTTCACATAGCTAGGTATAAAACTCAGGAAAGGGCATGAAAAATCTTTAATTAAAAAAAACTCCAACAACTTCAGGGAATGGATACTTCCTATGATAATTCTTACTTTGAGAATTCTTCCAGAATTTTGGAAATTTATTTTTGCCTTTTAAAATAATATAGGTATCATGTTATAAAAATTTTTTTAGAAAACAAGAGGCAAGCAGAAAGAAAAATAAAATTAAAGTCATCTGTTATCCTGCTACCCACAGCCAACCATTGTTGACATTTTGGCATACCCTTCCAGGTTTTTATAAACGTACATATGTATTGAAAAATGAAAATGAGATATTTCACAAACTGTAACTTTCTTTCACTTTAAAGTGCATTTTGAACATCTTTCCATGTCAAAAAATATACAACTACATTACCATTTTTAATAAGTGTATACTATTCCACATATAGATTTATGTGCTCAAGAATCTAATAATTCTCTAAAATTCTTAAGAAATACTTACTGCCTTTAACTCCATATTACCACCCATGTGAAATTCAATGGTTTTCCCCATAATGAATACACCTTCATTTCCACGCACGATAGCACGCCCGTCAACTTTTATATTTAAGTCACTAGTAGCATTGCTGGTAATCTGAAAATTAAAAAAAAAGTAATAAAAAGCGTTTCTAAATTAAAGTGAGAATTATTATCAGAGACAGAGGAACAGGAGTTTCAGCCATGGAATATGAAAGGCAAGTGTTTTCAGTCACATTTTATAGGTGTTGAGATAGAGAGACGTGACTTGATAATGATCAGATGACAAATCTAGAATTAATCAATCCTCCCCACTATTCCAGAATTTATTCTTTCACATCACTATAAAACAGCAAAACTCCCCACCCGCTTTGTAACTTTAGACTGTAATTCTCTTCCATTAATAAAGTAAACAAAATAAATCATACCCTTTCAGTAGATGCTTTTTGAACATTCAGACTTTTCACTCCACTTGGCAAATGAAACTCGTGAGTTTCATAGTCTGTGCTGAATAAGATATTCTGAGTCCTTGGGTCAAAAAACTGCATACCAATGTCACTTGTAATAGAAGTTTTGTTCTTTTCTACACTGAGCTTTGTTGTCCCTTGCTGAAAAACAATCTTCAGGAAAACACTTTATCATGAATATGTTTTCAAAGGAGACAGCATCCAAAATTCATCAAGAACATTATCAAAAACACTTTATAATAACAGACTAACTTCAAATAATTTTCACTGCATCTGTCTGTCCCCTCTCTATCTACTTGGGAAAAGAGTTCTTTCACATGAGGGTTTATACGCTTGTTTGCTTACACTACTCTGCACAAATCCATGGGTCACAATAGGACATATAGACAGACCTGGACCTAAGATGGGCAGGGGATGGTAAGATTACCTCCTTGGGGTTCTAGTCCATTGAGAACCTATGTTACGGCAGCCACTTGGCATGGGCTGCCACTGACCCGACTGGCATATTCCCTTCTAGACTCCCAGAAAGTACAGGGTATTCCAACCTTTGTTTGCTGGTTACCTTGCATGGAGGATAAAGAGAACACTCTATTCTTAGAGTAATTAATCTATTACAGAAAATGCTACTACCATATTAAGATATTAAGAAAGCATGTAATATTAACAGATTATAAGACCAACAATATTATTAAATATGCTTGTGAATATTCTCTCAAGAAAAATACCCATTTCCAATAATCAACTCTAGGTTTTTACAAAGAATTTTTCTCTAATGTCCCTCAACTGATATGGTAACTTACAGGCTGGTTGTTGCCAGTGATAACCAAGTTTTCATTTCGCCTTCCTCCTACGGTGCTCTTATAAAGAGGATGTATAACTCCCATGTCAGACACTTGCTTAAAACGAAGCAGGCCACTTTCATGAAACTCCATACTGTCGCAGCCATTTGGTCCGATGCGAATCACAGCCCAGATAACAAGTGTTATCTAAAATAGAAAACAAGACCCCTGCTAATAGGTAACATACATTTAACATAATTAGAAAACAAACAGAAAAGGTAATTGCCAAAGGATTAAAATTCCTTAAGATGTCTCATCAGTGAAGATGTCTCATGAGTGATTTGAACACATCAGTTGGTTTTCCACTTATAAACAAAACCCATTTTATTTTTATCAAGGTATTACAGGCAAATAGCTAAAAGTCAAAAAGTGCTAAAAGAGCAGTTTCTTATTTCTTCTGCTCTCTCCACATCTTGTCTGGCAACAGCCACTTACAACAATTTTAGGTATTTCATTTAGAATTTATTCCAGATTTTTAAGTGATATATTATTTCCTCACTCATCAATTTGAGGTTTTATCTATTAATTTCCTACTTTAGCAGATGAGAATTTATCTCATTTATATTTCTTCTCCCCCGGCTCCCATCTCAAGTGCTGGCAAGACCCAGGTTCAGTATTTTAGTATTGCAACCATGTAAGTACTGTTCACTGCTAAGCCAAATACTGTAACTAAGAGAGCACTTCCTTTCTTGTACTCTGCGTCTCTTAGAGTTTCATATTTGTCTTTCTTTAGCACTGGACCACATTTGCTTAGTTTCTTTGAAAACCCGACTGAATCTTTTCAAAACCTCCAATGTTTCTATAAAATGACACTCAGTAAAAGGTTCTCAGAGTCCAAACCTCTCAGATAGTTTATTCTATGAGTTCTATTTTTTTCTCTCAGGAAAGCTTGTTGGAACTCTGGTCTTCTTGCTCCAATCTGGACTGTTCCCCCTGCGTCTGCGACACAGCTGTAACTGCGAACTTCTCCTTTGCTTTCATGCTGGAGTTTCCTTCTGTCTTTCTCTCGCGCTGGATACCCAGTTTCCTGCATCCCTACCTTCAGCTTTCTGGGAGTTAGTGCCTTCTTGCGGTGAGCACCTCCTCCAGTGGCCTCCTTAGAAGGAATACGTATGAAGGAAATTTTGAGTGTGCATGGTTAAAAAATGTCCACATAAGCCCTCACATTTGATTAATAGTCTAGCTTGATAGACATTTCTAGGTTTGGTGTTACTTTCTCTCTGAATTTTGAAGGCCCTTGCTGTCTTGCTGTCTGGTTTGTAGGGCTGCATTTGAGAGGTCCAACGCCTCTGATTTTGTTGTATTCTTCATACATAACCTGTTTCTATTTTTCCTCTGGAAGATTTTAGGATCTTCTCTTTATCCCCAGTTTTCTTAAATTTCACAGGAATGGCCTTGGTGTGATTCTTTTTCATGCATGACACTGGACCCAGAATGGTAGTTTTCAATCTGTTCTAGGAAATTTTCTTGGTTCATTTATTTGATAACTTTCTCCCCAGTGTTCTTTCTTATCTCTTTCTGAAACTCCTATTAACAGAATGTGACACTTCCTGGATTGATTCTTTAATTCTGTTGACCTTTCTGGAAGGGTTCTTTTTCTTTATCTTCTAATCGCTTTCTCTCTCCATCTATCCATCCATTCTTATGTATTTCTACAAGTTCTTCCTTATTCTTTAATTGCTCCTTTTTAATGGCATGTTACTCTTGTTTTGTGGATGTAATATTCTCTCATTTCTCTGAAGATATTGGTTTTAGTTTTTTAAGTTTTCTGTCATTCATTGTATTTTCTCTATCTCCCCGAATTCCTATTTTCCCCATGGTTGGTGTGTTTTTGGTCTCCATCATTTTTCAATTCTGGGAGCTTCCCAAAAAATCCATTGATCCCTGGTGACTCAGTGTTCATATTTAACAGTGAGGTTTAAAGAAGTGCACAGAAAGTTCTCTGTGTGGGGTGGGGCTTGTGACAGGCTAAACGGTAGGAGATTAGGTGGCTTTTTCACTGGGACCTGCCAAGTGTCAGTATCTACAGGTTTTTTCTCCAGATGCTTCGGTTGCTCCAGGGCAGGCTATTTCATCTCTCGCCTGGAGGACATAAGCCTGGTGCCAGGGAGCTGGAGACAGAGGCTGAGAAAAGAGCTAGAGATCTGGGAAACGGAGTCTCAGCGCTCAGGATTCAGACTTCCCCGCTTCCAGCATGGAAACCCATCCCTACCCTCCTCTGCGTAGCATTCTCAGACAGGAAGAATCCTCTCCCTTCTATAACATACCGTGTGGGGCTAGGGGGCAAGGTTGCCTAACTGCTGGCTGGAAGGGACAGGAAGGCTAGGGATCTCATGGCTCCTTCTACAGGGTTCTCAAAAAGCTGTTTCAGTTCCTGCCTCACTCCTGCTTTTCATGGTACTTGTATTTCCATTCCTGATGATTCTGCATGGCACTTTCACCAACACACTCTGTAGCCCCGTCCCCAACACACAGAAGCAGTTTCTTCTCTGGTAAGTTAGCTGCCATTTCGCCTCCTGCTTTTTTGTCTTCATATATTATGGTTTAGGATTTGGTTGCCTCTCACGTTCTTTCAAGATATTTCTGTTTCTTGACATTGTCACCTTCGGATGAGCTTTTTAAAGAGGAAGGGGATAAAAATGTCTTCATTTTGCCATCTTAACCAGAAGTTTCCAACAACAACAAAATGTATAAAATAAGATAAATTCAGAACATATGCTCCTAGTAAACTATTTACAGTACCAGCTCTTTCCAATGTAAGGGAAGAATTAGACACAAACGTTTTGGATGTACATAAAATATAAAGGACTGGCTTAAAAGCATTAGAAGTCAAAAATAAAAATAAATGGAATCACTTTAGAACTGTAGCCCATGTTCATCAGTCATTAGTATACCAATAGCCACCCTCTGAATATGTCATCTACACACATGCCAGAGGGGTTCAAGTTTAACCCTCAGATAGTTACAACCTTGGATTAAGTCTTCTTCTTTAGAAAAGCAAGTATCTTTGGAAAAGGCAACATACTGGGTCTTCAGCACTTTAGTGTAAACTGGCCTACCAGATCCTTTCCTTCTTTGACAACAGAGACTTAAGACTACAAAACATTACCTTCTGCTGTCAAACAAGGGTTTACAATTTCAAAATCTGGTTGAGGAGGTAAGACTAAATTTAGGCAAAGCTGAATGAAAACAGAAAGGATTATATTTTTTAGGAGAGGTGAAGGCAATAAAGTCATGATGGCAAAGGTCTCTTCTACCTAGCTGACTCTACCCTTTCAAAAGTTAAGTCCTTTAAAGGGAATATTCCATGAATATATATATTAAATAAAATTAATACATGGTAATACTAGCATACTAGGTTTTTAAAATATATAACACATTTATGACAACTCAATAAGAAGAGGCACAGACTTATAAAGTAAGTCACAGAGATGCAAAGTACAGCATAGGGAATATAGTCAATAACGTTGTAATAACACTATATGGTGACAGATAGTGACTACACTTACAGTGAGCACTGAGTAATGTATAGAACTGTCGAATCCCTTGTGTTGTACACCTGAAACTAATAACAACACTGTATGTTAACCACACTTTAATAATAAATTAAAAAAAGGCCAGTGGTCTTTTCTATAAGTGTGTAAAAGATGGAATCTCCTGTTTTTTTTCAAAGTATATATCCGAAGAAGAAACATCTGATAAAATGTGTTCTTGGGTGTGAAATTCGGAAAACAGGATTCTGTTAGACAATATTTTGGACAGTAAGCAAGTCAGGGGCTCTTTGTACACACTGTGAAGGGTGATTGTGCATC